TTATTATATATATATATATATATATATATATATATATATCAATTCAGAGTAAAAATTAATTCTTGAAGCCTACTTCACTAATAGCTTTCAATAGCATTATGACTGTGGATAATAAAACTCAATTGAATGAGTTCAGATAATTCTTACTGTTATTAATTTCCTTTATTTCACTTTCATTTTGAGTCCTTCCAGCCTGCTTGCTTTTCACATGAACCTCGAGTGTGAGACTTATTTTAGGCAAATAATCTCCTTAATTTAATTTCATTAACTACTCAACGCCTTATTCGGTTTAAAGGTCTTTGTATTAGCTTTGAGTAATGCAAGCATACACCTTGTCCCTGAACAATTAAACACACTTGCTGAACGGACCACCCGAGGAATGGGAGTCCCTCTTTGCAATACCTACGAGTACTTAAAGCGTATTGGTAAGGTAGCAAGATAAATCATCCGGGTAGTAGGGCGGTACAACACCGTATAGACTTCAAAGGGCTTGGATTCTGCTTGTACCAATTGATAAATGCTGTCTAGCTAACTTTTGTATTCTCTGCAAGGCCGAGAGGAATAAACATCCTAAAAGGTTATTAATTGTACTATTTTCTGTTATTTAATAACTTGTGACTTTTTTTCATGCCTCCTGTCTCACAGATCACTCTTGCCAAATCAGTGTCTTACCTCCCATTTTGTGTGAAATCTGGGTCATTTGTGAATAGCTCCTTACCTAAAGTATGTGGTGGTAATACATTTTACTACTTGACCGACATTTACGGAGAGGATAGTCACGAAAGATCACTTAATTAGGCATTTGTAGCAGCGAATTTCCTTCGTTTTTATGTCAATACATGAAATTCATTTGGGGAATTTAGATGAATACTGGGATAGATATCCAGTCACAGAAGCATGTTTTTATCTGCGCTGCATAACATTTAAATAATATGCGTTGAGTTGGCTTACTGTAAATTCGCATATTATATTCCCCACTGAAAGTAAACCAAAATCTAAAGTTACCTATACACATACTTTTGTCTATTTTGTGCTCGAGCGTCTATTTTCTATATCCGCGGGTTATTTCGAATATTTTATGTTATAAGTAGTATGTATCAAGTTATTTCGTTTTTTACTTGGTGTATTTTACATTCTAGACTTTTCTTTTATATGGATTTAATTGCATTTTTGGATAACTATTGACACAACATTTTGGATGTTGGCGATATGGTCTGCTTATAATTACATTGTTAAAAATGAATTTTTTTCCAGGAAAAACGCTTTTTATATGCATAAAATACAGGTCACCAGGACGTCAATGTGTAGAGTATTTTGGTATGATGATTTTCTAAATAATTTTAACCCAAAACGTTTATAGATGACTTCTTATCTTTTTTCACATTTTTATTATGAGCACGATTCTAGACCTTTTGGTTTGGCTTGGAATTTTTGCTACTTTTGGTTATTTGGTTGTTCTTGAAATTTGTGATTTTTCACTTTTGCTAATTATGCTTGATATTTGTTTATTTTATTGTAGAGCGATCATATATACAAGATCGGTTGTGTTAAATTTTGAGGGTCTTTATATAAAGCCATCTTACGCATAACATTAAAATTACTTTATAGACTCATCAGTAAATATCGAACTGTCTTTCTCATAATAAATAGTGATTTTATTTAGGCATTTAAACAAGAGTAGGAAAATATGAAGACCAAGATGTTGTGGCGTCTGGTATGTTCGCAGACGTGGTCAGTGAGTGATGTCCGTTTCGAATAAACCAGTACAACTTTGGGGGTCTGGCAGTCAGGGAGCTGGGCAGACGGATTAACAAACTGTCAGGGAAATTTGGCCTAGTGGCCAAAATGCACAAGAAATCTACTTGAGATGCCGCATGTGACCAGAGATAGGCGTCCACAGTTTGCTCAGATAACATGGTTTTAATCAAGGAGATGACCCTTGTAGGGAAGGCCTGTTATCGGCAAGCATGGCAATCAGAGCTTAGGCGCTCTGCTCAGTAACGCGGCGGTGTATGTGCTTTTAGGGCATTGAGAAATAGCGTCTGGAGTGAAATGCACTCTGGGACTTTAACCAAATGGAATCGGCCAACCAGAAAAAGAAGGAATGGATCTACGAGACAATGAGAGGATCCGGATTGGAGGCCTGAGTCGGATCAGCCGATCGAGAGAGGGGGCCATGGTGAATAGCAAGTGTGATGAGACCACACTCGGTTTGCCACAAAAGGGCACACATTTTGATGATTGGAATGTAAAAAAGTGAGGAGTTGTGATAGAGCGGAAGTGGGATAAGAGGGTAAAGAGTAGATAGATAGACCTGGACAGAAAGAGGTGTGATAGTATAACCCTTTTCGGTAGAACGTTTGTAGAGGGATTGACTTCACTCGTCTCCTTGACGAGTTCGTGGCTTTGTGCGGCGAATGGCCAAACTGACCGATGATGCTGACTACGATGCCGGTGAAACGTTTGAAAATGTACCAAGTCAATTGTCTCCTGCTGGGAATCATGACAACACCTATGGCAGCCGACTTCGGACTCGGTGCGTTCTACTAAGTCGCCCTGACAACAACGAGGTCAATCCACTTCTATAGGAGTGGGAAAGTTAATAGGATGTTTATTCTTTCTATGTTGAGGTTTAGGCCTGCAGTTTATTGTGAATTTAATCTTAATAGTTCTCTACATGTTCTTATTTATACCAAGTTTTATAAATCTACCGATTGGTCATGTTGTAATATCTATTTTATTATTGTGACCTACTTGGATTGGTGACTTTGAAGACATGAAGTTTCCTAGTTTGGCTTAACAGGAAGGTATTAATATTACTAAAATAGAATATTTTAGCTCAATTTTTAATTGAGTGTCAACTGAGGATGCCTTTATCTAATCTCTTCTAGTCATTCAAGAAGATGGAATCATATGCAGGCCGTAAAATTGTCCTGCCTGGAATCAACTTCACCCCGGATCAGCTGTTTTTCTTGGCCTTTGCTCAGGTTAGCCGAAACAATGCTTTATAACGTCCCCGCATTTTAAGAGTTCCAATAGAGGCCAGTAAATGGCACCCTGTTCGAGGGTTTATGCAAGAAGAAGAAGGCAGAAACCGCTCCATCGTTCGGGCTCCGTGAATTCTGGCTCCTCGACTTTGCTGCGAGGAAGAAGGCCGGATGAGGTTTCCAACACTCGGAATGCATCTTGAAGAGGCATCAACTCTATCCGGAGCTAATCATCTGAAGACAAGAGGGGACGCTATGTTTCATACAAGCCAAGTGGAAAGCCTGTTCATTTTAGTAGATCTATAGAGTACTTTGTGGTTGTGTATGCTGATGCGTATTTGTGTTCGAGCGAGCATATGCTCACACACACACACACACACACACATACATGTGCAGGGTGACTAACAGGTCGAGCGTCGAGTGAAAAGGATGCAACTTGAAACAAGATTTCGGGCTGGATCAGATTCGTGGATTTCTTAACCGTCAAAAACGACTTGGAATCCTCCAAGAGAGACATTATCATCGTGTCGGTTGCTATGGCATTCGGCCACCGCATGTCCGGCCTCTGCTGCCTTTGGACTAGCCATTCTTGCATTGAAGAGCAGGCTTTAGATGGATCTCTTGCTTTATACTCGTTGAGCTCCCTTCCTCCATTTCGAATGAAAGTGTATTGTGCATAGACACAAGGATCGTCGTCACCAGAGGCCGAAGGCGGATTGCTTCTGGCCATCGGTTTTGACGCTGTTTCCGAGGCAATCTCCTTGGCTTCCGGTGAACACGTGCGAGTCTTACCTCCGTCAACTGGTTGACAGCCTCAGAGCATGTTGTCATTCTTGTAACCATATGCAAGCTGAGGAATGAATAAAACGCACGGGCTTATGCCTAAATGTTGAATATGTACCCGAGAGCAATGCCATTTGATGAGGCGTAAAGTGATTTGGTTAATTCAAGCCATTTTTCACTTTTGAGCATGTTTGTGTGTTTATTTGTGTGCATTTCTTGTCCCGTATGGTTGTGTATAGGTAGGAAAGCAACAGTAGTTATAACGGAGCGTAACGTCTGGTCCCGGTCGTCAA